TTCTAGGATATCTGTGTAGTGTTATGAAGGTTTATTTTTAAAAGTTAAACATCCCAAAGGCTTCTGAGCACATTTATAGAATTCCTAGAAGTGGAAATAATCCCTGTATCAGGAAATGCCATGAGTGTTACATTCATAGCAGGCCTACCATTCAAGGACCAGCTGAGAGGTGTTTGGCCCTTCATGTAAGACCAGCGCTGCTGGAAGGACTCAGGGCCAGCTCCCTGAGCACGCTGCTTTTTATTTCAGACTACTTCTTTGATCTTCCCGGATGGGAAGCTTTCCAGTAATGCCTACCAATTTTAATCTGAAGTGAATAGAGGTCATAGAGGAATATATAAGGCACACTAGACAAGGCTGGCCCTTTGGGGCATAGCCATGAAGAGAGCAGGCTCCAAAACTGCCTCCCTGTATCATCTCCTGGGGGATATGTCTGTATATGGGGTCTTTGGACATTGCATCAATTTTAGGACATCATGTCACTCAGAGAATGATAAGGCTCCCAAAAGTAATTCAACAAAATGCAATAAACAAGAATAATAAAATGATTACTATTACAGGTACTTTCCTATTTCTAAAGCACTTTATATCCATTTATTAAATATACTGAATGTGGCCCATTGTGTGGAGCAGAATAAGAATGAAAGCTGATTGACAATGGGTCTTGCTTTCCAGGGACTACTATCTAGAAGGGAAGTGACCTACATATACTGGCCAGAGTCTATTCCATTGCACAGGGATTGATAGCAGAACAGCAAAGTAAGAAGAGTTCAAGGGGAGAAAAGGTTAAAGTGTGTTCAGAAAGCAGCACATCATTGGACTAGAGCATGCTGGAAACTGGAGTAAGGTGGAAAGTAGGAAGAAAGAAGCAAAATGTGGGCCGTAGTCAGCTTGTGAAGAGCCTGGGCCGGTTTCGTGAATTCCTCCATCAGTGTGTAGTCATTTAATCATTTCAGAGGAAACAAGCCCCTTGGCTAGACACATTCTTTAGCACATTAACAGGTGGGAGGTATCACAAGGTTAGGAGACAGAGAAAGGAATTAGGAGACTCTTCCATGGGCCTAGAAAAGACATGAGGGTCTGAACACAGCAGCCATGACAGGTCCTGGGCAAAGAGGAGAGTCTACCAGGACAGAATGGAAACTTGAAAATGCTCAAATGCGGAGCGGAGTGGAGTGGAAGAATGAGTTATTATATGCGTGAGATTCCAATTCATTATATGGAGACAGTGAACACCTTTACGTCAAATATTCTGAGCACATAAATGGATCTGATTTAATTCCACTTCTACCTCCACTGGACAGAAAAGAAGAACCCGTGTTGCCAATCTTAAGAGATTATCACTTCTGCTACGTTTTGGGTCATTCAATAACAATCCCTTACCACAGCTCTCTTTCTCTCCTCTTTCTCCTCTTCCTCCTCCTCCTCCTCCTCCTCCTCCTCCTCCTCCCATCTTCCCCCTAGATAACAGGGAAGGAAAGGACGTGTTTTTATGCAGTGGTGTCCTCCAAACTCTGGTCTCTAGCATAGTTGGAAGCTGGGGACATTGTGATTTCATGTCTTGGTTGGGTTATAACCCAAAGGACGAGCCTGACTGACTTGGTCCCTTCAGGCACCTTCTAGAGCATGTCAGACCACTACATCTCAGCCAAATCCATCATCAAGCCCCTACTTGGAGTCTTCTCTACAGCCTCAACAGAGAGGTCAGCTTGCATATCCTTACTGCAGCCTGAAGGCAGCCTGCTGAATTCCAACTCAGCTGCCTCTATGCCTCTCATAGGTCTGAAAGCCACTTCTGCATCCCTTTCAGGGTATATGAAATCTGTGTTCAATTCAGACTTCCCCACAGGGTCCACTGTCTACCCATGAATGCTGTCATCCCAAATTAGAGTAGGAGACCCTTGCACTGTTATACTATTGGTATTCCAAATAAGAATTTGAAAATAATTCCATCTTTTGGGTTTTGCCTTAATCAATATACCTATTGGGTATAGATTTTGGATCAGAATCTAAAAAGGGAATGTGCATCCAGATTCTTCATTTCTCTCCCTTCTTTTCCATGACAGGACAAACTAGGACGATTCTTTTGTCAGTAGGTTAGTATTCAGAGCCTACTCATCACAATTAGCAAGGTGGTTGTGGAGAAAAGCTAAATATAACAAGGGAAGAGTCTACTCAACAGCACACACAGAGGCATAGCCATCCCCTGGCATGATTTCATCCCTTGGCATGATTTCATCCCCTGGCATGATTGCATCTCTTCAGCCCTGTCCTAACCAATGAGAACCTCATCCACTTCCATTAACAATGAAATATACCAACAGAGAAATCTGTAATCCTAAAATGTAGTGAGACAGTCTTGTTAAAACTTAATTATATTATTATTGTTGTGTGTACAGGCGTGTGTGTGTGTTTATGTGTGTATGTGCGTGTGCAGGTGTGTGTGTGTGCAGGTGTGTGCCTGCCATGGCAGGTGTGTAAATCAGAGGACAACTTTCTGGATTTGGTTCTCTCTTTTTACCTTCGCATGCATTTCGGGGATCAAACTCAGGTCGTCAGGCTTACATGGCAAGTGCTTTTTCCCACTTTGTTATCCCAGTTGTATCTTCCTGTGGTACAAATCACCTTAAGCTGTGAGGCAGTCAGTGTAGAAGGCACTGTCCAGGGGTGAGAGATTGGGGACAATCAACCATGAAAGCCCAGGGAAAATAACAGTGGGAGGAGAGATGGCATAGTGGAAGCAATGCATGGCTTGGCCCGCAGCAGCAGAGGAAGGTTTACAAACTGCTGCAGAACAGCAGAAAGCAGATGAAGAACAGTCACTTCAGTGGGTGCAATGGCCATAGCAATGCACCAGCAGTGATCTGACTAGTCAACAGGCCTGGTAATAGGACATATGGAAGTCAGTTCAACATTGGGATGAACTGAGGCCCTGAGATGAGACAATTGAAGCCACCCTGGACAGGGCTATGTCTACAGTAGCTGCCAAGCAGCCACCAAGGAACTAAGGCAGAGCACACAACACGAGGAAGGGCTTCGCCTGTCATTGGAACCTGGCACCACACCCTCCTCTAAACTTCATAAGCAGCAACATCTCAAGCTGTCCATCTGCATCATCACATTGCTGCACGATGTTGGGGATCAAGGAAAGAAATGTGAGGACAGAGGAAAACAGAACAGAGAGAAGAAAAAGACTTAGAAGGTGTAGAGTGTGCATGATAAATCAGAGCCGTGCCCGTGTGTTGGGAAATTGCTACAAATTTTATGCTATTTCCTGCCCTTGTTCATCAAATCACCAGGACTCTCCCGTTCAACCCCTCATCTGCCTTTTGGCTGGGTGTTCTGACTAGCAGGAGATTCCGCCTTCTTCTCTCTCGTCTAGGCACACTTAGTGAAGGTATTTCTAGTGCAGTTGACTAAGACCTCTGATCTATGTGGGATACCTGCCACTCTCTTTGGGCTGTTCTTGTTAGAACTGCTGGGTGCTTCATGAAGACCTCTCTGGAACCCCTGAGGAAACTACTTCCTAACTCAGGAGTGCTCCGTTGGCCAGTATTCCAGGGAGGCAAGGCCTCTGATGAAAACAGGATCTTTAGCACCATGTTCTTTCAGGGACATTGAGGGCAAGTGTGAGTCACGTTCTCCTCAGATTTCTCAGAGCTTGGATATGTCCATTTCTGCCCTGCCTAGTCTCTGATTCCTTCAGCGGGGTTGCCAGAAGTGGGGCTTCAGTCAGACCTGGTGTCTGCTGTTGCCCTTCTGCCGGTGCTTCTTACCCATGATGCCACTGCGTTTTATTTCAGTCATTGCCCTCCTCCCCTCTCTGCAGTCAACAGTCCCCTCTGTGACAACCCGTGTTTCACTTGGAAGCTTTGCCTCTATCTGTTTATTTACACATCCCAGCAGGAAAACTGCATGTGGAAAGAGCTGGTGTAGTGTTCAGGGTTCTGTTTAATGATATTCCTAGGGCTTAAAGGACAGCAGAAAAGATCGATCTTCATATTCCCATAGACCTTATATGAGTTTTCCTAAATCTTTACCCATTGTTTGAGAAATGTGATATATTTCTTTGTGAGTCATTTACATTTACTGGGAATCATCAAAAGGAGTTATATAAACTTCTAGAACCTCTCCCTATGAATTAGGAAGCTATATTTCCCCTTCATCACAACCCCAAAGGCTCAAGTTATGATTTAATCTCACCAGATGTTGGACAGCAAAGCATAAAGGATATGATCAGAAAGTTTTCCTATATTGCAGTTGATGTGTGTTTCAGAAGAAGACCAAAACTTTATCGACTTCGACAGATAATTTTAAAGATATTAAAAATATATTGGAAAATTGGGGAATTGAAAAAAAATCTATTTTTGGAAATAAAATCATTTATTATAAAATACATTTCTTGGGGCCCTTCCTTGGATCCTAAGCTATTAAGCATTGTCAAAAACAAAGAGAAAGAGGGAAGAGAGACAGAGACACAGAGAGGAACAGAGACAGAGAGACAGAGATAGAGACAGAGGAGAAAAAGAACAAGGAGGATGAGGAGGAGGATGAAGAAGAGGGAGGAAGGGGAGGGAAATGTGGAGAGAAATTTTTATAAATTTCTCACAGAACCTCATGGAAGCCCAATGGACAAGGGCATCCCTGATTCTGCTAACAACATTCTTCTTTACGTCTTTGCTCACTTGTCCTTGAACTAGAAGTGTGTCTCAGTGGCTTGTTACCTCCCAGGAGCTACGGCTGGATTCTCCTTGGCATTTGCTCATGCTGTTGAGCTCTCCTTTTGCAACTTAGAATGAGGATATTTTCATACACATGACCTTAGCTCCTCATGATTCAGTGTCTCCCTGCCCAGTTGCTATTAAAGTTTGCCTCTACTCCTCTAAATCAGACACCATATTCTCCAGAAGGATTTCCTGGAGTTTTCTTCTGTTCTACCTATATGGTAGAAGAATTGTCAGGAGGTTTGGGACATGTAGTGCCACTTTCTCTAGAGTTCAGTAGTGATGTAGGGATCTGTTCATCCTACATCAGATCCTTTGAGGTTTTCTTTGGTTAAAGAATCCCTGTAGGCTTCTCTCTAGATCAGTTAAAACTTAAATCCTAACTTCAAGTTAAAATTTGCGAATAGGGTTAGCAACATCTTTTTTTTTTCCTTTTTGTATTTTTCATGTGTGTGTTGTACGTGTTATACGTGTGTGTGTGTGTGTGTGTGTGTGTGTGTGTGTGTGTGTGTGTGTGTGTGTGTGTGTGTGTTTCTGCATGTGTATGGGTCCATATGTGGTTGGACAAAGGTTGATGTCTATCGATCTTCCACCTTATTCAACAAGGCAGAGTATCTCAATCAAACCCAGAGCTCACATAAATGACTACTCTTTTTGCCAGTTTGCTCTGGGATTCCAGTCTTGGCTTTCTGAGGCTGGGATTACAGGTGAACCACTACACCCCTAGCATTTGTATGGATTTTCTAGTCCCTGGGGCTGAAGAGCCAGCTCAGCAATTAAGAGAACTGGCTGCTCTTGAACCAGAGGACCCAGGTTCAATTCCCAGCATCCACATGGCACCTAACATCTATTTGTAACTCCACTTCCAGGAGATCTGACACCCTCTTCTGACTTCCATGGACATTGCACAACACAGGTGCACTTACATGCATGCAAGTAATACACTCATACACCAAAAAATTAAAAATAATAAAGTTTTTAAAAGTCCGTTTTGACTTCTAATTTCAACTTCTTTCCTTTCATCCTGCTCACCACAACCTGTCATTAATTCAGGGATTTGGGGAACAGAAAAAATAAGGTCTGCTGCTGTTATACACTGCCCCCTACTTCTTTCTCTTCTCTAGTGCCTTCATATCAGAGAAGAGGACTCACAGGGAAAGGTGCAAATGTCTTTCATGACTAGGAGACATCCAGTCCTCTCTCTGCTGACTGCTACAGACCTCTGACTAATGATAATAATAATAACAGTTATAAGGTGGATTCCCAGTGCCAGTGATAGCTACTAATCTATCATCTGTTAATCCATCCACCCATCCATCTCTACTCTCTATCATGTATTCATGCATATATCTATCCATCCCTGTATATCTATCATCTATCTATTCACCTACTTATCTGTCTATTTTTCTATGAACTTAATTGCAAAATTTGATGGGATAGCTATTTCCTTTTGTGTATGCGCTTTTGGGGGTGTGCACATGCATGTGTGTGATGTTGTGAGAGTATAATTGCCTGTGCATGTATGTGTAGAGGCCAAAGGTTGGGTGTCTTCTATCATTCTTCACTTTGTTTATTTTATTTATTTATAGACAAGGTCTTACCATGCAGCTCTGTCTGGCCTGGAACTCACTATATAGACCTGGGTGGCCTTGAATTAACAGAGAGCCACCTATGTCTGCCTCCTAACTCCTGGGATTAAAGGTGTGTGCCACCACTCCCGGCCCTCACCTTATTTTCTGAGGCTAGTTCTTTCACAGATCCTAAAGCTTGCTGTGTTGGCTAGGCTGACTGACTAGCAAGCCCCAGGGATCTTCCTGTCCTGCTCCCTCAACACTGGGTTACAGATGTGTCCTACCACGCCCAGCTTTTACATGGGTGCTGGCGATCCAAACTCAGGTCCTCATGCTTGCACAGCAAGTACTTTATTGACCAAGCCATCTTTCTAGCCTCCAAGATGGGTACTTTTATCATCCCTATTTTGTAGACAAGGAAGCAGAAGCTCAGAGAGGTGGTTCAGATCACAGAGTTAATAAATGGCAGTCAGTAATAAAACCCAGCAGGTGCAGTGTCCAGACTGTAAATGCCTTGGTGGGTTACTAATGCTTTGGTGCTGCAGGTATTTGCCCATTGACTCTCACAGGATGTGGGTCCTCATTAGTCCCTCAGAGAGTCCTCCCAAAGCTAACAAATCACACACTTCCCTCATGTTGAAGATTCTGCATGATCCTCCATTCTTGGTCTCCATTCCTATTGGACAGACAATTGTTTAGTACTGTTAGGGTTCTTTTGTTTGATGGTCAGTCTCCTTGGCAACCTAGCAACTTTCCATAGTATTCCCTGGACTCATGGGAAATTTATAGGTCCTTGTAAAGTGTAAGTACCAAAGTACTCCACCTCTGGACCCTCCCTCTAGAACTTCAGGCCCTAATAGTTATGGTTCTTTTAAGAATGTGATATTATTTGTCATTAGCTTTGGCAAGAGCAATATTAGACATTTTGTAATCATATATACAAAACTCTTTAAGGATAAGATCTAGAGAAGCAATGCATCTCTTTTCCTGTTATTTTCCTAAGAGGCATCCCATTTTCATTTGAAGGTTGAAAACCAAAGCTATTTGCCTACAGCATCTCCTACTTAATCGAATAAATGATGGGTCATCCTTCCAGACTTTCTGAGGAAAACCTAAGTTCTGCTGTGTGTGTCTATGTTTATGTACTCTCTGTAATCATTTACCTTAACTATTGGGAACAAGCAAACAACTGGTAAAAATATTTAAGTAAATATAAAGGGATTCATGCTGTGAATATCTGGAATGAAAATGATAGTGTTTTGATGGGATATCACAAATTTGTAATTTGTAATGACTAATTCATCTGAAATCAGCTCACCAGAAACCAATTTATCCAACCTTGGTTTAGCTAATTTGTCCCTCTGATGGCTCACTGCATTTAGTGCTTAAAATTCAGAACTGATAATGAGCATTTTCCCTGAATGTGGCTGAGCATCTTTGACTTGCTTTTATATGGCTAAGATTTACTGTATCATAGAGATTTCTGTATAGCATCATATCTTTTATTTAATTTTGACTCTTATCACAGCTCTTTATAAATCAAATGGTTCAGAATTGCATATTTCTTTCCATGTTTTTATAAGAAAACTTTTGGTTTGGTTTTTTTTTTTTCTTGTCTTCTTTCTTCCTTTTTTGAGTCCATAAAGACTGAAAAATGTCACACACACACACACACACACACACACATACACACACACCAGGTTGCAAAAGTCACACTATGCCTAACCCCAGTAAACATAAAGGGAACGTGAGAAATACAAACTCACTGTGTTTCAATAAGATTGGCACTTCCGGGAAATTCATTTCAAAATCCTTAAAAATCCACAAAGGATAGCTCTTAAGTGGATCTGAAACTTTTTTTTGAGACAGGGTCTCCCTGTAGCCCCAGCTGGCCTGGAACTCACTATGTAAACCAGGCTGTCTTCGAACTCACAGAGATCAGCCTGCCTCTGCCTCCCAAGTGCTGGGATTAAAGGTGTGCACCACCATGCCCAGCAGACCTGAAACTTTTGAAAAGAGTCAGACCTTGACCTTTAGAGAAACTGTAATACAGCAAATTGGTTTTAGACAAAGTGTGTTTTAGACCATAAAGCACTTGGTAAAAAAAAAAAATGCAAATTTTAAATTTTCCTGCACTAAAAGAAAATGGGATAATTCAGAAATGCACTAGTGATTGCACATCCTTTCAGGGCTCTCATACTCTGGGAGAGCATCTGCCTTGGACCCTTCTTGCTGAGAGTCCTGGACTCTCCCAGGGAAGAAGCAGAGTCTCCTGGAGCCCTGAGCTTGCACTTCTGCAGCCAAGACTAGCTACATATTTTGTAGAGTGCACTGCGGAATGAAAATGTTCAATGGGTGTTTCAAGATAGTAACAGCAGAGCAGCAAGTCAATGACTGGGGCCTACTGAGTACAGGGCATCATGCCTGACTGCCAATCACACACCCAGGAAGCCAGCTGGCATATGAGAATGGTTTTCTCATCTCCCCTCTATGTCCTCCTCTCCTGGTTTTCTCTATTATCTGACTTACCAGGCAAACCCTTGATGGATGATGGAGGGAATTCCTGCTGACACACTATCTTGGCCAGTGATGTCAATGGTTGCCTCCATCTGAAAAGATTATAGCTCCTGGGGACATCATTGCTTAATCTCCTCCCTATACAACTGTTAATATTGTTTCTGGCTTCCTAGTAGAAACAAAGAACCTGATAAAATCTTTGAGGTTAGTGGTATCAACTTCTGAATCATCAGATGAAAATTTATTAACTTTCCTTTTTCCCTGTTCTTTCTCTTTTCATTTTCTATGGAAACCTCTTTGCTGTTAAAAGAACGGAGGTAAGAACTTATTATTCCTGATGCTTTGTATTGTTTGTGGTTTTTTAATTTGACATGCCAATAATTTGTCTGCTGAGCGCTGTAAACTTTCTGGAAGTTTCTAATGTCTAAATCTTTTGATATTTTTGTAAGATGATGCATAAGTGAAGATAAAGATAGCTAACATCAGTTGAATACTCCCTATGCATCAGACACTGTGCTCAAAGCTCTATATGCATTGTTTAAATGTATCCTCAAGATGTCTCTATGAAATAGGGACCCTGATTGTCTCCATTATTAAGAAAGAAACTAAGTCTCTTTGAACTGGAAACTCACATAGCAATTAAATGATGCAGTTGGAAATTGAACTCATGATTGACTCCAAAGCAATCCTTTATAACTTTGTCCAAGAGATAAGAAAGAATATCAGCTTAGAAGATTTCACATCTACAGTGATTTATGTACAGTAGTTACTACAATTGACTTTCATAAAAGTACAGCTTTTATAAATAAAAGCTGGCTCATGCCTCGAAATCATAGCATTCCAAAGACTGAGTCAGGAGGATCAGAAGTTCAAGATCAGACTGGGCTACATAGCATGTTTGAGGCTAGCCTGCACTCATAGTGAGTTTGAGACCAGTCTGGGCTATGTGATAGCCTGTCTCAAAAAAACCAAACAAATAAAAATCTAACAACAAATATACCTGCCAGCCATTCTGAAGACTAAGGCAAGAGGATCAGGAGTTCAAGACCAGCTTTGGCAAAATGAAAATCTGTTTCAAAAAACAAACAAACAAACAAACAAACAAAAAACAGAGACAACATCAAACAAACAAATTAGAAAAACCTTAAAAAAACTACAAGATGTTCTAAGTGAATGGTTAATCATAACAGTTGTAGTTAATTTTCTGGCACCTGTTCTCATTTAGACACCACCATGACTTTATGGAAGAAAACTATCACCCACATATTTCCATATATGCAACCAGATGCAGCAGGAGCTGCAAGACCACGTAGGTCAAAAAGTATGTGGCTGGAGAGATGGCTCAGTGGTTAAGAGCACTGGCTGCTCTGGCAGAAGACCCAGGTTCAAATCCCAGCATCCACGTGGCAGCTAACAATCATCTGTAACTCCAGTTCCAGGGGGTCCGATGCCCTCTTCTGTCCTTCTCAGGCACTACATGACATGGGTGCACGCACATACATGCAGGCATAGCACTCATACACATAAAATAAAAAGTTAAAATAAATAAATGAATAAAATCTTTTTAAAATGCAAGGCTTCCTTCCACAGAGTTTGGATAGACAGATTGCAAAACTCTGATAATAAGAATTATGAACAGCAATAGTCACAAGAATCTCATACTTACTGCCATAATATAGAAACAAAATATACCTTTACTAATAAAGGAAATTGATTAGAAGATATAGCAAATGCTTATAATACGTTGCTAGGCAAAAATACAGGATACAAAAATGTATTTGCAGTATAATTCTGATAGTTATATGTATCATGTTTGTAACTGATAACATACAAATATATATAATCTACATAGTGTTTATCTATTGGGCTAATATAACTAATTTTTAAATTGTTTTTCTTCTTTATACTATTTTTATTTTGTACAGTATTGATCTTAACTTCACTCACAAGGACCACACAAAGTTTTACAACAGACTGTTTACAACAGTCATGTCCTTCTTGTTGAGGACACTAGGTTTGGCATTTCAGAAAAAGGGCATTTGACCTGTATTCTACAGTAGAGATTGGCACACGTTTCCTGTAAAGGGTCAGATAGTAATATATTCAATCAGTGTGCCATACAGATTGAATTGAAACTGCCCAGATCTGCTGTTTTAGTACCAAAATGGCCACAGAAAATGGTGCGATTGGTTCTGTTCCAATAAAACCTCACTTAGGGATGTAAACTTGAATCTCATATAATTTCCACATGACATTAAATATTCTTGTGGTTTTTTTCAATGATTTGAAATGGATATACTTTTCTTAGCTCTCAGGAAAAAATATAAAAATCTATAAAACAAATGTATATGTTTTAGAATAAAATGCAAAATAAAACAGACAGAAGGATACAAGGTTTCAGTTAGACAGTAGCAATAGGTTCAAAAGAGCTACTGTAGAACATGATGCTAGAATTAATAACATTGTACAGTGTTCTTTAAAATATGCTACTAGGTAGATTTTAAGTGCTTTCACCTTAGTAATATGCATCTGAGCTAATACATATGCTAATTAGTTCAATTTAGCCATTCCATGATGTGTGTGTATTTTAAAATATCACATTACACACGATACACAAAACTGTTGTTAATCATTAGTTAAAAAGATGAAAATTTTGCCTATTCAAAAGATTTAAGAGCTGTCATTATATATTACTATGAAAAGAGTGACAGTCATGATAGACACATGTAAATATTTAAATTAGTTTGAAGAACATGTGATTGTGATTTGTTATAACTGGTTGCATTCTAAGGTTTAAAAGCATATTATCAAGGGGCTGGGGAGATGGCTCAGCAGTTAAGAACATTAGCTGCTTTTTCAGAGGACCCAGTTTCGTTTCCCATCACCTAAATTGTGGCTAACAACAAACTGGTTCCAGGGGATTCAACACCCTCTTCTGACCTCCATAGGCATTGCATGACATGGATGCACTTACATACATGGAAGCAATACACTCACATACATAAAAAAATAAATAAAATATTTTAAAATATTATCAAAAATTATTAGTTCTTTTGGGAATCTGGGTGTTTAAGAATTTCGTCTGAAAAAATTGTCTTGAGTTGTATTTGCTGATCTCTGCCTTAGTAAATGAGTCATACAAAGACAGCAGTTGTAAAAGAATAGCAACATTTCCAGTTGCTTTGAAGGCTAGAAAGGCATAGAACCTTAACCATTACCTTTGTAGGGGAATATGGCAGCTGCTGTGTAAGGGAAGACCATCTGTCCCAAGGATGGGTACAGCTATCAAGTGTACCTCCATAGAGTAGGGGGGGTTATCATAACCCAAACAGGACATAGCTGGTCATCTGTATATGCCTTTGGACAAAGTTCAAAGGGAACAGATGTCTTCTTCATAGAAACTGGAAGCTAATATTTCAAAATGTGATTCAGATATGCTTCAGTGGAGAGAAATAGGAGAAAGAGGCATACAAAGCAAAATCATGTAACTATTCTGTTTGACCACAGGGTTGCCTGTTTGAAAAGAAGGCGCATGAGGGATCCGGGAACAAATATCCATTTTTCTAGATCAACCAAGTCAGACAGGTTTGGTTTGTTAGGAGGCAGTACAAGAATAGGCATCATTTTAACTAGTATTTTTAAAGAGCTGCTCCAATAGAACATTACAGAATGATCGGCATTTCATAAAGGGACCTCCGTGACCTCCGCCCCACGGTTCGAATGAGAACCAGAACCAGGGCCGGCTAAGGCTTCCCTACCAGCAGCCATAGGAACTGTGGAAAGACAAGCAGCTTCAGGGGGGCAATGCAGGGTTTATATTACACACAAAAGACCACAGAAAACACCTGTGGGAAGTCTCCCTAGTCCTCTTGTCCCACAGGTCTTGCCGAAAGCACAATTCAGTTTTTTAAAAAACACAGAATGATTCAATTTGCTTTCATGTCTGGCATCCAAAATTTGATAGTTGTATAAAATTTGAGTTTCGAAAATATATGGAAAGAAGCTAAATGATGAAACTGTGACTAGGCGGTTCATAGGTAGGTAGACAGACCATTTCTAGCTATGTAAGACAGAGCTCTCTATGTGCTCATAATATATATTAATAATAGCATATAATCCTATACCTGGGTTATGGAACTAATCAAAGCATATGTAGGTATGTAACATTCTTAATGATCCCAGGAACATCCAGACATATGAAAAATGATAATCATAAATTTTGTATTCGTATAGCTTTTCTCAGAATGAAAAAGGTTTTTACAAGCTAGTGGTGTTTAGATTGTTAGGAACAAAACTGAAAATTATAACCAAGATCTAATTTTCATTCAAAACCAGTTCTATTTTTCCACTTTTTTAATTCTTTTGGGGGGGGCATTATTTATATAATGTTAGAATAAATGATGATTCAGTTCTATTAAGCCACATTAGTGATGCTCCAGAGGTTTTCAAGAGTTTTATTAAAGAAGCAGAAATTTAGAGGAATTGATATTAATTATTCATGATCCTTACATCTAAGGCTATTTTCATTAATTTTCTGTAGCATCCATTTTCCTAGTTTGAAACACTTTCCAAAATACATACTTTGTTTGTACAATTAAAGGAAAAATGGAAATCAGCTCTTTCAGTAGTTGACACATGACATCAAAATCTGGATGAATCATTCTGAGCTCTTATACACAGTGAGGGTTTGTTTTGTTGTTGTTGTTGTTGTTGTTGTTGTTGTTTTTATGTTACTGCCCTTCTTCATCCCTTATTTTACCAAAGTATTGTAGCAATATGTGAGGCCACTATACGAAGCAAGCTGAGCTGCATCTTGCTATTTGCCATTATTCAGTTTCTTGACGCACACAACTTTAGCTCTTTAAATTTTTCTGTGTACCACTACAGATTGAATTTCTTCAGCAGATTTTTTTTAACTCAAGGCCTTTATTTTAAATATTCCCTACGAATTAAAAATCATGCTGGCTAATTAGTAGTAAAAGTCTAGTACATATTAAAAGAAGACTCTATATTATAAAACATTATTTTAAAGTATAGTGCTGTCTTCAAGAGTCATTTTATCTCATTCCAATGGATTTGTTTCAAAGACCAGACAATGCCAATTTGTAAAGTATTGTTTTTTCAAATTCAAATAGGGTTTCTTAACTATTTAAAAATATCCCACAAATTTCAATGTGTTTAATTTTCTTAATCTTTTATATAAAGATGATGAAATGCTAAATCTTTTCTTAAATTTTTGTTGAATTTTTCTGTATTTCATACAGAAAATCATCTTTATACCCCCTTCCATTTTGGCACCTCCCATGCCCCCCCCCACTGGAGTTCATACATTCTGAAGTTTGTGTTAAGGCCTATTATATAAAGCTAGTGTCCCCAGATGTCCCTCAGTGCAAGTTCATCCACCAGGGTTTAGTCAGCCTATCTAGAGTCTCCCTTCAAGAAGATCAGCTCTTGAATGCTAAATCTTAATAGCTATATACATCTAAATGAGAAATGTGATTGAAAAGTTGTTTGTCTTGTTAGGGAGGCAGATCAATAATGACATATGAGACCATGACAATGTCTATATATAATAAGTACTCAACGAATATTTGTCTACTGAGTCTATGAGTTATCACTGTCCCAGTGCACAAGCAGACCCAAGAGTACCAGCCATGATTTCCATTCTCCCAAGCATCCTTTTTAGTAGTTATGAAGTTTTTGGAGCACTGTAGAATTTACAGTTTGTTTTCTCATAGTTCCTCATTAACAAATCCGAATCAGAGTTCAGGATTAATTATTAATCATTCTACTGGGCAGAATATTTGGGCGTGGGGTGGCCCAGTGAGTGACTTCTCCCAAAGACGTCCAATGAGAAAGCAGCAAAACTGAAAAATGCTGCTTAGCACCCCTGAAAGCCACACGCGTGCTTTCTTCTGTCCACAGGGCTCTCTGGGAAGGTATGTGAGTGAGAGACTCTAAGTGTGGACGGTGTAGTGAAGATGGGAATGTACTAAGCATTTGGGGTACTTAACTACCACAACATATAGACTGTTCTTGAAGCAGCAAGCTTTTTGGATGAGAGTAATTCTTATACTCTCTCATTTGTTAGGCGTCTGAATGAATGCTTTTCAGATGCATTTCTTTGATTACAACAGCTTATTTGCAAGAAGCATGCAGTAAGAACAGTCACGTTCTGTTTATAATGTGAATATCAAAAATATCCAAATTCTTTGAGCTCTTGACAGTTCCCAAAGCTTTCCACAATCTTTATCGCATTGAACCTTCTCAGCAGCCCTCTGTGGTCGCCAGAAATACATCTGCAAACTACAGCTAGAGATGAGAATATTCAGATGGAGATTTCAGCTCGTGTGCTAGGGCAGTTTCTGTTGCAGATGTGGGGAGGTGGGAGGCGAATGAACGCCAAGAGCTAGCATGTGACTAGGAATGTTGGTTCATTGCTTCTTTCAGTAAACCACAGAAAGATAACAAAGGCTACTGCGCCCAGTACCGAGGGGAGGTGTGTGACGCAGTCCTGGCGAAAGAGGCGCTTGTGTTTTTCAACACCTCCTACGAGGACCCTGAGGAGGCTCAAGAGCTACTGGTCCACACCACGTGGAATGAACTGAAAGCTGTGAGCCCGATTTGCCGGCCGGCCGCAGAGGCCCTGCTGTGCAACCGTCTCTTCCAAGAGTGCAGCCCGGGAATCGTGCCCACTCCCATGCCCATTTGCAGGTAAAACTTTGAGTAAGGAAATTCCCTTTGTTTTCTGTGTGCAGAGTTTACAAAACAAGGCATTGAGATGAGCAATAACAGGGCAAAATTTGCCTTCCATTCAAAAGAGGGCATTATTAGGACAAAATCCCTACCATGTAAATCACTGATAGTAGTATATAATACAATGATCCTAAACTTACAGAAAATATTATAGGAGCTGGCTCAGTAAAGTACTTGCCACCCAAGCCTGAGGACCTGAGTTCAAATCCTAAGAACCCATATAAAAAAATATGGATGCCCAGTAGTATATGTCTATAAAACCAGCACTTGCAGGATGGAGAAGAGGGGGATCCTGGGGTTTGCTTTGCTGGCCAGTCAGTCTGGCTGGATGGAGGAGCTCAGGGTTCAGTGAGAGACAGACTCTGTCTCAAAAGAAATAGAGATGGTGATTGAAGAAGATATCCAATGTCAATCTGTGGCCTCCACATGCATGCAAACCCACACATACATGTGCACACAACCACATGAATACATCCATACACCACACACACTGACATGCATATGCATATAAAATATTAGAAAATATATGATATTCTAGCCCTTTGGTGAGCTCTAGCTTCAGTGATAAACTCTGTCTCAGAAAAAACAAAGTGAAGAGGTATAGAATAGAGGAAGATGGGAAATCTTGGTCAACCTCTAGCTTCCACATGCACATGCATACGGGTGTACACACACTTGGATGCGTACATGCATACAACACACACAAAAAGAAAATAATGCATTTATCACCCCAAGTACTCTCTTTACAATACTGAATAGATTAGAGTGCTCTAAGCAGCTGTCAGTTGACTGATGGCTTCATGAAATCAAATCCTGTCATGAATTTCATGCTTAGCATCAGTTTTATGTAGATCTCTGATGCATTCAGAATACTTCTAAGCTTTGTCATTATGTCCAATTTTAAAACCTCACCTAAAAATTTAACTTTATTTAACAATGCTTCCAATTTGCCTTAAATTGTACAGGTTCTTATAAGCCAACGACATAGATCAGAAATTATGTTTTATAATGATGATACCAATAATCATCATCCATGAGAAATTTACAAACGGAAACAGATTGATAATTGAGCTCCATTTAAGTCATATTATCAAAGTTCTTTTATTTGTTAAAATGGAAACGATGGGTGTAAATATTGCCCATTAGCAAAAATTTTTGAATCAATGGTATTTGTGGAGGGAGAGTAGGTAAACCATCTTCATTTGCCTGATGGAGGAGCGTCTCCAAAAGGAGGATCTTCAATGATACGCCGCTATTGTTGATTACTCTTGAGACATTCCTTCGATTTTGGAACTGTATCTCTATTTCCATACTTTAAATTCTATTTCATTGATGGTGTTATCTTTTTTGCACTAGAAACATTTGAATTTAATTATTGCATCTTTATAATTTATTTAAATTTTTTCCTATGAACTTCCCTTTGTTTTAATCTTTGTAAGAGTCATTTACTTATTCAGTTATTTTAAAATATGAACTTTAGGGCCAACATGCACATTTTCTCCACTTGGAACATGATTAGAATGACGATGGTTTACAGAATGAAGTTGGAGGAAATGTCTATGTTTATACTGTTGTGGATTCCCATTCAGAAGCACTGCATGCGATTCCTTTTCATCAGTCTTACATTAGCCTATTAGAAAAATTTGGTGATTTCCTTCATACAAAGATTTCTTTTTCTTACTTAGCTCATGGCTAGGTGTATTTCATGATTGTGGTTAATGTAACGGAGTGCCAGCTCTCCAACCCCAACATTATGGTGTTTTCATCCTAAAATGTTTTCTTTATCTCTTTATTTTTATTTCATGTGTATGAATGCTTTGACTGAATGTAAGTGCATCCATGCATGCAATGCCAGCAGAGGCCAGGAGGGGGCATCAGAGCCCCTGGAACTGGAGTTAACAGTTCTTAGCCACCATGGTCTACACAGAGAATTCTGGACCATCTGGGGCTACGGGAGATCCTGTCTCAAAAAAATAAAAATAAATTACAAAACAAAACAAACTATTCACTTTGTTTCTATACCTTTAATTATTTAAATATGAAAACAAGAGAATATCTACCACAGCCTCATAGTCTAATACCTTTAAAATTTGTGAGCTCCTTTCCCCAGGATCATCAATTACATTTTAAAAAATAACATTTTGCCTGGCGTGGTGGCGCATGCCTTTAATCCCAGCACTCGGGAGGCAGAGGCAAGTAGATCTCTGTGAGTTCAAGGCCAGCCTGGTATACATAGTGAGTTCCAGGACAACTGGGGTTACAGGGAGACCTTATCTCAAAAAGACAAAAAATATATATAATAATAACATTTCATCTCGCAGCATAGTATATCATATCTTCTAAAGTTGGTAGAGGGCTTCCTTAGCCCATACAAAGCCCTGGGTTCCCTCCTCTAGCACTGCATAAACCAGATGTGATGGCCTATCATTTCAGCACTGGGGACGGGGAGGTAGAAGAATCCAAAGTCCAAGGTCATCTACAGCTACTTAGCAAGTTCCGGACCAGCCTAGGTTAAGTAAAAGCCTGTCTGGAGAAAAAAACAAAAACAAAAACAAAAAAAAAACGTTAAGAATGCTTTTGTAAGCACAATGTGCTGCGATACTGTTTTCAAAATACAGAATTTAAGCCCCGAGGCAAGTTGGCTTTGCCATGTCTTGATTCATCAAGTTTTGTTCTCTATGCGATATTTTAGAGAGTATTGCTTGGCAGTAAAGGAGCTGTTCTGTGCAAAAGAGTGGCTGGTGATGGAAGGAAAGAGCCACAGAGGACTCTCCAGATCTGGGATGCATCTCCTCCTGTTGCCAGACTGCAGCAAGCTTCCCAGCATGCACTGGGACCCCATGGCCTGCACAAGGCTGCCATATTTAGGTAACAGAGTTCTCCCAAGGCTTGGAAGTTAAGAGAAATTTATTATTTTGAATAAACTAAGGTGTGTACTTAAAGCTCCTAATATTTCTAGGCTTTCTAGATATTTCTAATTTGTTTTCGCTTTTGCCATCCATATACATAACTAATAGAATCCTAATGCTATCTTAATTGCATAGGTTAGTATAAAGCCTTACTTGTTTTAAAATAAATTAGAGGGCACTTTCAACTGCTGCTTGAATCTTGCCTTATTTCACAGGAGATCGTATGAGAGCCTGAAACATTTTCTGGAATGTATGGAAAAAGTAGCTAAGAAACATCTTGTCAGAGGAGTGGCGTAAAGGAATAAAGTTCCCTTTCTGAGCCGATGATGCAGATTGTTTTTAAGCATGAAAAAACAAGCCACATGTTTGAAAACGCTGACCTCACAAAACAAACCTGAACCGCTCCCGCTGCATGTCGCTTTAATGACTTTCGTTTGTACGGAACTATGTTGTTAACCCGAACTGCCGGTTTAATTTCAAACTGTCTTCACATTCCGATGCAGAGAATGTTTTCCGGTTGTACATTAAAAAGCTGAAAGTTGCATTTCTTAGCACTCACTCACAGCATATAGGAGATATCTCGATGCTCACTTAAAACCAATTTTTATCCTTTCCCCCTCAGATTATAAAAAAGAGAACATAACAAGTAAGTGATTTTGTTTGTGCCTTGAAATCTTACGTGTCTGTAACTGGATTCGTGCATGTATATTTACATTCTACTTCAAGTCCGGAACAGAATGTACCAAGACTCTTCACCACACTCACCCCGAGCAGAACACGAGGAGGATCATCGACCCCCTCAGCTTATAGCTTCTAAGTAAGATGTGGAGAACGCGAAACTTAGTGAACAGAAAAAACAGTATCGCCCACCTCAAGATGGTTAGCCAGTTTTATGCCTTAGATGTGTGCAAAATATGTCAACTTGAAATGTAGCATTTTGATTTTTGCATTCATGATTTTGTGCTATTTATGGATGAAAACAAATACTGTCTTTCCCACTGAGCGTGATCTTCATTTGTGACCAGTCTTTTTTCCTGAAGGATAGCTGCATTTTTTGTTTGTTTTTAGTTTTTGAATTTTCATATTAGTATTCCACGTTAACTGTAGAGCCTTTTATCAACAGGAACAGGAAAAATGTTGAAAGGGAAAATGAATTGCCTGTAATCTCACTTTTTCAAAAAAAGGATATCAATTCTAAAATTAATCATACTACCAGTAACAAGGAGGAAAAGTCTTAGGATACCATTGGAATCTCACTTTTCCCCAACATTTTTATCTATAGAATTGGATGAGTTTCTATTTTTCTTTGTAAGAGATAATCAACTGGAGTGTTTTTGTTGTCAGCCTCAGGTTTGATTGTTCCAAGACTGGTGGTCCATTTACTTCCCATCGTCCCTTAGTTAAGTGCCAGGATGTGACTTTACCAGTAAGACTTAGTCTGAAGAGAAAGAATGCCGCTGCTCCCAATGGAGAGATGCCCAACAAGAGCGGCTAGACAATAGCCGAGGAACAAGAGGAAGAGAAAAAAGAAAGAAAAGCTAGGATTCTGGAAGCCTTTCAGGTGGCTGTTCCCAGACTGGAATAATGAAAAGTGGGTGTGGGGTGTCTTTGTCGTATAAGCAATCAGTTTGCTTTGGTTGGATGTTTAATTGATTGCCTTGGTCTTTATTATCCTTTGATCATTCACTTATTCTGTCACATGTTCACCTGGGGTTGTTAATGAAAACTGTGGATCTTTAATCTTCAGTTGGACAAAAAGCAATGAATATCACAAAAGTATCCAAGTTCTTGCCCTTTGCAGCAACTAGAAAGAAATTCTGAGCAGCATAAACTAACTACAATAATTAATTTCCTTATTTTTTTTTGAATTTTTATTATTTTTATTTTTTATGTATGAGCATATTGCCTGTATGTGTGTCAGTGCACCCATGTTATGCAATGCCCACAGAGGCCAGAAGAAGGCATTGGATCCCCTGGAACTAGAGTTATGGATGGTTGTTAGTTGCCATGTGGGTCCTAGGAATCGAACCCCTGTCCTCTGCAAGAGCGGAGACATTTCTTCAGCCCCAATTTTTTTATCTTTAAAAACAGTTTTATGAAATCTTTGCTACATGTAAGAAAAGAAGTCCAAATATAAGAAGTGGATCATTTCCCCTGTATACATGGTAGAGCATATCTGTGCTCTCTGAGTTAAATACAAGTAATACTAAAGAAATTGACTTTAGCTCTTCTGGTATATTAGTAATTGAGTAAAGAAAACACCCTTATTAAGCACCATATTTTCTGGGAGTGTGTCAAGCCCTCATAAATTCCTTGCTTTATAATTTCTTTTTAAAATTTTTTATTACATTTATTTAGTGTGGGGGGTTACAAGTGGAGGTTAGAGGACAACTTGTGGGCATAGTTCTCTTCATCTACCACATGGGTCCCAAGGATGGAACTCAGGTCATCAGACTTGGTAGCAAGCACCTTTTAGCCACAGTGCCAACTCATCAGCCCTATTTTATGATTTCTTACTGAACTCCAAAGATCAGATGCAGTCCACTTTGGGGAAACAGTGGAAGAATTTTTTTTTAATTGATGTTCATCTTCTCCTGGCTCAAATATGGGAGCTAGAGTGTCAGTAGTTTCTGAGGCTTTTAAATTTTATTTCTTTTTATATGAAATTCTTCTTGGGCACATCATACCTTGCCGTATTTACATTATCCTCTGCTAAGCATACTGTGGTATCTTCTGTGGGATTTCACATACTTTACAGATACACTCAGCAGCAAGTCTGTCTTCTGTCTGAAAACTTCTATAGAACAGAAGTAGAGTCTGCCTTGTTCTGGTAATGGTGAGCTCTTTCTCTTCAAGTCTTTCTTCCCCTCCATCTTTGCTCTCACCATTCATATAATTGCAGAGTGAATGACCATGCACCCAGATCCAGGCAGACTAATCAGTGTGCTAGGTACATTATCTCCTTCAAGTCCCCCCGACAGCTTTATGATGCTAGGTGCCATGAATGTATTCCATTATGCGTGCTAGTTAACTTGAGAAACAGATTAACCAACTTCCCCAAGGTGACCCAACAAGAGTGAGGTTAAGCCAGTATTCAAGCCCAAATCTGTTTAAGTCTGGCTCTCTCTTCAGAGTTCAGTTTCTTAGTTGTTATGCCTGGCGGACATGTCTCTGTTATCATTATTTAAATTTCTAAGCTTTATTCATGTACAGTAAAGCTTACCTGATCAACTGATTCATTCTTAAATAGATACCAGGTGCTTTTCATAATCTGTTATAATTAACTATTCAGGAGAAGATCCAGATGACAAAAACGATCACAATTTCAAGTCACCTGGGCAACCTGACAATCTTTTTTTCAGCATTAGATAAATATATGCTTTGTTTCTAAAATTCATTTTCCATAATGATATTACTATTTTGTCCACAAATGGAGAGAGAGAGGGAGAGAGACAGACAGACAGACAGACAGACTATATTTGTGAATTATTATTTTATCATTTGAAATGCTACTTGGGTCATTTTGTGGTGGTGGTGAAGTCACAAATTCATAGAAACTTTGGACTGGAACAATTTCAACAGTTCTTTCATCCAAACCTTCCCACAATGGAAGAATCTTTCCTAGAGGGTCTCTGAAGACATTGCTTTTCTCCTTTTGAATTCATTATATTAATTTATATTAATTGTTAGAACACTTAGACACATTTAACTAAACACTGGTCCTCTGTAACTTCTGTCAACTGGTCTTTTGTCTACTCCTTTCACCCATCGTCTACAGCACAGCCTTTATATGTGTTGGGAGCCAGACACCCAGATATAGTTAGTCTCTGTCTCTGTCTGTCTGTCTCTCTCTCTCTCTTTCTCTCTCTGTCTCCTGATAGTTTCTTCCTTTTCATATTAAATAGTACCAACTTTCAACTTTTTCTTTTGTAACCTGAATTCTAAACCCCTCACCTCCATATTTACCCTCCCCTGACTGTATGGGAGATGGAGGAATGTTCAAGCTGAACACAGTACACAGAACATGATCTGATGAGAATTATAACACAATTGTTTTCTGTGATAGTTGTTCTTTTATTAGCATAAAAATTACTCAATTAGTTGCCTGATAATCACATAATCATAATAGCTCTCTTTCAATAGGGGCTGGAGGCATATCTCAATCAGAAAAGTGCTGGCTGAGGACCTTAGTTCAATTTCCAGCACCCATGTACACTTCCAAACCCAGTGCTGGAGAGGCAGAGACAGAGGATTCCTAGGGCTCACTGGCCAGTCATCTTAGCCTGATCAGTGGACCCCAGGTCACAGTGAGAGACCCTGTCTTAAAAAACAATTCAGATGGCCCCTGAGGAATGACACCTGAAGGTGGCTTCTGGTCTACACACACACACACACACACACACACACACACACACACACACACACACACATATTCACGTACAAATAATCTCTATGTGGTTTATGGATTTAATTGATTTGGTTTATGACTGAATTTTCACTAGATCAACCTAACTCATGATTATTATCTAATTCTTCTTGCATTTATAAGTTTTGCTTTAGATATTTGGATACTATGTGTTGTCAGGCACAGTGACTCATGACTTTTTCTCTTCTTCTCTTTTACTATTGGAAAAATGTCTTTCATTCTATTGAAAGTCAACATTAAATTTCTGGCATTAGTATTAGTAATCTTTATATTTTTATCTGGAATCTCTGTCTCTGTTTTAGTAGTTTTATTTTCTTACAGTGTATACCTGGATTTACTCCAATCTGGCACTCATTTTTCATTTAACAGGAGAATTTATCCCATTCATTTTTTTTTTTTTGGTCTTTTTTGAGACAAGGTCTACCATGTAGCCCCAGCTTTCCTGGAACTCACTATGTAGACCAGGCTGGCCTTGAACTCACAGAGATCTGCCTGCCTCTGCCTCCCAAGTGCTGGGATTAAAGGCGTGCACCACCACATCCAGCCCCCCATTCATATCTTATATATAATTGATTTAATTAATTTTATCCTTACCATTTTCACAGGTTTTATTACTTTTGCTTTTGTTTCCTCTTTTCTTTTTACTTATTTTTATCTACTTATCATTTTTCCAATGCTCAGTGTTAGCCAGACACTAGCTTTTCCTATATATCCTTCATTCTGCCCCTCGTGGAACTTTCAGACTCTCCAGTGACATCCTCAGAATGCTTTTGTCTTGCTCTTTATTTCCCAAGCATTACTGGGTTTCCCCTTGCAGACTGACTATTTCCCTCCCCCTCTCTCCTCCATCCCTCTCTAATTCTAATTTAAAGAATTAGACAAAATTCCCAGCCATTTAATTATTGTCCATTTAGATACATTTATTTATTGCCATGCCTTATTCATATTTTGGCATCTCTTTCTGATTCATTTGTTCTTTAGTTAAGAAATGCCTTGTATGTTTCCTCAGAAGAGGTCTGGGATGAGTCCTTGAGGAGGTAAATATCATCCAATAGTCTTCTCACCTCAGTAATGGAGGTGAAATAGCCAGATATGAAAATCTTGAGTGATGGTTCTCTTCTCTCCATAGTCTGTATGTATGGTTTCACTCTTTTAGCTTCTAATTTAGAAAGTGAGTCGTTAAAAGTAGCTGGTTATTTGTTCTCGTAATTTGTTCTTTC